GCAAAAACGGGAGGGGAACCCGTGTGCCGGGACGTCGCCCTAGTGTCATCGTGCCGCTTTCAATTTAGCCCCCACATACGGCCAAAGAGCAGCTGTTCTGTTATAGTTTCGTTAGTCAGAGAAGACTGTAATTATATTGATGAAATGGAGAGAGACTTACACTGAGCAGAGTAGGCTCCTCCACCCACCACACTAGTGGACCACTGGCCAGCCCCACCAGCATTCCCTTACCGAAAGAGCGTCCATCACCGTGCGTTGATGACGTCGTTCGATAAAATAACACACCAGTGGGAGTGTGCCGAATATAAAATTGCATATGTTTTGTTTTGTGTGTTTCTGTTGAGCAACGCACTGCGTTTTTGACGCCCAGGCCTAGCTCACGGTGACCCACGCGTCCTTGCTGGACTCGGAGGAGTTTAGAATACAGGCCACGCTCGGTCTCCCACCCGATTAGTCAACCACCTGGCGGAACCGCCAGCATCCCATACCAGAAGAGCCTCCATTACCATGCACTCATGAGCTTGTGCGAGAACATCGCACACCAAGCGGAGTACATCGAATACAAAAATGCCCGCAGCCTTTCAGCTGTTCGCTGTGAACAATCCGTGATGAAAAAAAATCCCCACGAGTGTTTTAGAGCTTCGCTGAATTGTCTCTGTGCATGCTTGTATGTTTACCATTGCAAGGGATACCATCATCTATGGACTACAACGTGGAGTGGAGCAGTCGCCCTCTGCGAATTCATGTTGAAGAGCGCATCCTCGCTAAGATCAATTAATGTTTTTTCGGTGTCCCATCTCGATGGAGGATTCTTGTGGTCGTGTTGTACTGTGGGTGAACCGCGACACCCGAGAATTGTTTCTCGCTGTAAAGTTAATGGCAGTTGAATGCAAGACAATGTTAGACATACAGCATTTGTGGAGGCTGCGGAGGCTAGGTAATAAGGAAGAACTGTAGAATTGGTTGTTCCGCGCAGTGCAACAGTTTAATACCCACAGATAGTGCAACAAAGGGCTTGTCCAGTTCGTGCTTAGACTACTTTGTAATGTAAACGTTCGTTCCCTATGCTGTTTAACCAGCAGGGAGCATCTTCTGCTGTGCCACCGGCTAGGCACCCTACCGGGGGCGGCTAAGCTCTCGTGACTATAACCAGGATAGCGGAAACTGTTTGAGCTATCTGTATTCATCCGAAATAACTACACGAATTGGGCTGACACATGTGCCGAACACGTCAAAGCTACTCGATTTGGCAGTTTGATGCACTGGGTGCGCCTTAAATTCATTTTTGCGGGGTGCGCAGCGGAGCCGCGCACTTGACAAAGTACCATGTAGCCTAACCGCTACCTTTATATCCCTTTTCTGCAAGTGCAGCACAGGGGCTGCGGCGTCGGAACAAAATCGAGAGGTTTTACTTTTGTTTGGCATGACGACACTGCATTCTCGAAAAAAATGCTGAGCCAAGGCATGCTTGATACGGTGTGATTCATTCGCGCTTATCTGGGTTTCTTTTGTACAGACTGGCGCCGGGTCTAGCGGGGGTGATCCCGGTGACATCCCACCCAGTTGCTTTTAAGCAGTGGTTTAGGTTTCTCGTCTAGAATGAATCCTTCATAGAAGACTAGTGCAGTGCAACTCGTTAACACGCGGATTGTTGCTAAGAATTACGCAGATCCTACCTGGTTACTTTTCCATAAGGAGCGTGTTGGTTCCAAGGGCACTGGCAGATTCGATCCCACACTACGGCTTTAGTAGCAATGGAGACTCAAGCGGTCTTCTGAGTGTTGCCAATCAGGATTACCCTACCAAATGCTTATCCAGAGCAACACAATATGAAGCTCTACCTATCTCCAGTTGAAATCCGATGAGCGCGCTAGACTCCAGTAGCTTCAATGCTTGTTTTGTAGCTCTGCGTGATCTACTCCCGTCAAGCCAAGCACCTTCATGTCTCCTTGATAGAACTACCGAATGCACAAACGCGTGGTAAGGGGTTCCTTTCCCTCATTTCAGTGCAAATACTGCATATCAGTGGAGCCGGAAGAAATATCGAGTCGAAATCTCAACAACAGGCGGCAACTCATATTTGATGTTCATTTGTCCGCAGCTTGCAAAGCGCAGACAAACGGTGTTGCATGCAATGCAACAACTGCTGCACGAAGGGAATTTCGGCATCCGTTGTTGCCCTGCATGCAACGACAAAAGTGGACGTTCAACGGTATAAGGCCAAAGAATCCTTGCCAGTTGCCGCCATTCAAAGATGGCGTGGCATTTCCCGTCTGTGCAGCAGTAGGAAGCGGGCAAGGCTCCCCAAATCTACCGCGGACCGAACTACACCGCCAGCTTGTTTGCAGCAACCCAGGTGCCCCACTGAATTGCCAGTATGGCACATGGCGACTAACTGAGCTTTGCAGGGACGCTTGCATCGAGGCAGTTCCAGCACGTCGAAGCACCTTATCAGCAGCCGATAAAGCGTATCCTAAAGCAAATACACCCTTCCACCCATTAGCAAGAAGTAGTTGCACAGCGAAGTCCCCTCAGGTATGAAAATGCTCCACACCCATCTGAGGTTCGTCAGACTCGTACTCCAATCCATTGGGCGTTAGAGGGCAACAGCAAAATTACGGAAAACGATATACTGATCGCATGATTCCGAGAGGTGCCAAATTGCACGTTGCTCTCAGCAACAGTTGAATGGCACTCCCTTGAAACAGTCTGGCGAACTATCTGATCATGCGCTGACACCCCACGGTGACAACAAATAATATAGTGACCAATAATCACAGGTACCAGGTGCAAGCACACTCTGGCCCTGACACGCAACAGAACCAGAAGGGCACGTAAATGTTATATCGAGAAAATGCCCAAAAGTGCACTCCCGTAAGGAAATAATCCCGCCCAGATGAGCCTCAAACACTATACATGTGCTTCCTGGGAGGTGAAACAACGAAGACTTTGTGGAACACTTTGCAAAAAATCGATGGCCAGATGCAAAACCATGCATCTGCCCTGGGAAAGTCGTGCGGCCCGAACAGCTTAATCCAGAGTGTCGTCAGGCGTTCCACTTCTTGGAACAGTAGAGGCACATCTTTGCCTCTCTCCACCCGCCGGCGAAACGTTGGAGCTACTCAAAACCTCTGCGCATTCACTGTTGCGCAACCCAGGCAAGGCAGAACCATCCATGGTCCCAGACAATGTAAGCGTCGGTTCATCCCTCAGTTGGTTATCAAGCTGGTAATCAGTCCTGGCCAAACCCCCAGCAGTCCCAATATCCAGGCGCCGAATTTTCTCAGTTGCAGTTCGCAGTAAGTGTTTGAGATTCCCTGCCAGCAAATTCAGTTCATCCTTCGCACCGGTCACGCAGCCGTCCCTAGACGGAATCTTGTTTTGGCACATGACGGCGTCGATTGCCACTGAGAATGCCTCTCCCTCCGAAACGTCCGGTAGCGGACTGTGGGTGGCTGCACCGTCGGCAGGCGCTGCAGGATTCCAGAACTGCCCAAATGTCCGTTCCTCCAGAGTGCCTTGTGGGGAGCCGGCAGCAACAGGCTTCGGCAGGCTATTCACAGCGTCCCCAGCCGAAAGGGCTACGTTTTGGTTTGGCAAAAGGAGAATACTCGACGCGTTGTACTTCCTGACCGCTTCTGCTTGAGCATCTCCACCGAATTCCTCAGGCAAGGTGGAGCTCGTCGAGCCATCTGCGCTACCACGACCAGGAAGTTCCACAACCGCAGAAAGTCGGAAGGCATGAGTGCAACTCCCTGGCGAGATCGAAGGCCTCTGTGACGTAACGCTGCTAAGCGGCTCCACTTGAGCTACATAGCCATCCTTCGGCAAGCTTGATGGTGAAGCGTCCAGCAATGAGATGCCAGGTTGAAGCGGCATAGCTTGTGAGGCACACGCAGCCTGTATGACGGATTCGCCATCATCTGGCTCTCGAAGTGGCTCCTGTCCGTCCAGCCGTTCGCTCTGCGAAGCCACCCGCCCAGTCTGTGCACTTCTCAAATCGAGAGCGCCCGTGTTTCGCTTACAAGTCGAAGGCTGTTGATGAGAACCGCCCTCAGATCCACCTTGAAGATCTCCAACTTGTCCTCCTTCCGTCGGCGAAGGCACCTCTGATTCCCCCCTAGTGCAAACCACCTTCTTACTGTCTTCTTGACCCTCCACATTTATTGCCTGTTGGCCGTGATGTCGCAAGAAGTAAGAATCAGAGCTCCCGCTCTGATTCACAGTGTTCTCCGCTAGGGGAACATCCAGTTCTACCAATGGAGGTTCCGCGCGAGGGGAACGCAGGGTGTTAGAACGACAAGACGAGCCTCCACTGGTGAGAGCCTTCCCCCGTTCGTCCTCACAGTTCTTTATTTGACTGCAAGATAACTGAGCCGGGATGATTACGCTGATGGGCTGCGCTGGTATTCGGCAGCTGCCAAACATTTGCAGTGTATCAGCAGGCTCACGCTCCACAGCCGGTTGCGCCGACTGCAGGGTTCCCGCCACAGCTGGTTTGCCGCTGGCTGCACTGGCCTGCGTTGACACAGCAAAATGAAGCGGTTTACAAACGAAGACGTTAAGCGACTTACGGTAACTACTGGCACCCTCATGGTCCCTGGATTCACACGTGCTCATCCCAGATGCCACGTTGGCATCGGCAGGTGTAGAGATCATCAGGGCCTGCCGTGTCTCCGACGTCATTACAGTGGACGCCACCCCCTTCCCCGCTTCCACTTCACCAGTTGTTACGGAGAGAACAGAAGCCTCCCCTGTCCGCAACGGCAAATATTCGCCATCCTTTGAATTAAAGCTCAGCGGGCTGCAGCCGCAGAATGTGTGAGGGGAGACGTGCAGGCCATCAGAATGGGCAACCCTCTGGCCCAATACACCATGACTAGAACCATGAGCTGATGGTAAAGAAGCTATCGTGTCTTGTTTCCCGCCAAGTTCTGGAAGAGTTCCCGATGAACGAAAAGCCTTCCTGTCCTTTCCCAAGGTTGCCACGGTTTCCTGGAGAGTAGACCGTGTACTGCTAGTGGATGTTTCTAACCGACTTCCAAGCCCACCGCCTGGTCTGCAGTGCTGAGCACATTTATTGCTCCAAGCGTTTGCTATGTACAAGCACTCAGGCGCAGCAGGGAATGCACGGTCTTTGTGGTGCTCTACTGAACGCCGAGTATTCCCAAACACCGCAGAGGTTGGCAGAGGTGCGTCTGCCAGGCCGCAGAGGCTCACAGACTTCGCCAGACGGGGATCAGATTGACTTGTTCCGGAGTCGGCGAGGCCAGCCATGCCCTCGCCAGCAAATCCACTTTCTGAGAAGCTCCTCCCCCTTGTGGAGGAGAATGCGGCCTGGCTTTCTCCTGAGCCTAGGGGGCGCACACCCTGCGAGCCCTGCTGAATCGCCGGCTTCTTCTGCTCACCGAACCTGGTTAGAACTCCAATATTCTCCAAATCCCTCCCCAAGCAACCACTTGATGAAGAGCGCGGCATGCGAATTTTGATCACCCCTTCAATCTTCCGTCGTATTCCCTTCTCAAACGTGTGATGGCTACGTAAAAATTGGCACATTTGCGGGCGCCATGGACCCCATTCAGCTTCCCAAACCTCCCGCTCTAGCTCAGCTTGTTTTCGGTCTTCTTCGGTGTGAAAGAATGTGCACTGGTTAATATACGGACATGGACCCGTATCCGATAGAGCCATCTGGCACTTCTGCGAGATGGCAACACCGACGGCCCCACACGCATGCATCTTAAAACTGGCTCCAACCTTGCCCGATGTAGCTGGCACTTCTAAAACCTAATGATGAGGGCTTGCCATCAACCACAGTTCACAATCAAACAACACGTAAAGAAGGCAGCAGAACGGGCCAGAAGCATTCAAGAAGACCCCACGACCCATATTCAGCAGCAAGGTCAACCTACTTGCGTCTTATATACAATAGGATGGAACATCTTCTCAAGTTTCGTGTGTGCAAACGGGCAGACGCCATTGGCGCATCTGCAAATCAGCGTACTCACATTAGAAAAGGTTTCTCAGAGAGGCCATGTGAAGCGTTCAGCACGACATGTAGGGAACGCTCTAAGAGCCGTGGTAAACCCAACATGTGCAGTAAACCTGTCGGTATCCAGATGCAACGCTGATGATTTCTATTAAATGAGCGCCTGGCCCGGGTCTGCCCTAGATTCTAAGCCTGTTGTCAGCATTCTCGCCTCGCTGGCTGCTAGGAACCCTCACCGCCGAGCGTAGGGGCAATCTACGGGGATGTAAAAGTGCGTGTATGGGTCACGCCTAATAAACTTGACGAGTTCAAAAGGAGCTTCGCGTAGTGGGTTGAAATGCCGGCTGACAGGCAGGCCAACAGCGGCCACGGTGGGTGAGAGGCTCGTCCTGGGTCCAAAAAAGCCGCCAGCGGCGGGCTGGGTGGGGGGGTGCTGCACAGCTGGGATGGGAGGCGAAGTCTCGCGTCGATCGAACATGCCGACTGGTGACTGCCCATAGGGCACTGCGGGTTGACCTAAGCACAGACACAACACGTGCATATGTGGACGTGCGCACTTAAGTCATCGGGCTTCCTTTGGCAAGGAGCCTTGAAGGGATGCTTGAAGTACACAGTCGAGGTTCACCTCTGAGATGGCTGTCGGCGTGTGTCACGGAAGAGCTCCCTCGAAGCGCTGCGCTCGAGGAAGGCAATCCACCCTCTGAGACACCGTATGACAGAACACCTGCAGGGATAGCACCACTTTCATGGTAAAGATGGTTGAGCGCTGAGGGGTTGCGGACTGGAGCCCCGCTGCCCATGGATAAAGAGGCTGCGGAAGAAGCAACATTCTCGCGGCAGCCTCCATAGTATTGCCAGCGAGGGATAGGTGCCATTTGTTGGCAGAATACAACATCTACTCTTCTCGCAGGGGAGGCGGCACTGAACTGCGGCGCGGATGAACTCAGCGTGCCCAGGCTCCCACGCGACGTGCCCCAGATGGAACCGGTAGTACACGACCCCGCAGGGGCTATGTGGGGTGATTCATAGGACGCTGCTTTTAGGTGCTGGCCCCATGTGGCTGGCTGGGAGTTAGTGATGTTACACTTGCTGTAATCCTGGCCGAGGGGAGTTTGCGCGTGATGAGGCATCCCTGCGGAGGCTGCGTCTTCCCGGCGAACCTCGACCATACCGGGTAGCTGCCAATGTTCGGTTAAGCCTCTTATAAAACCCATGGAGCCCCCAGTGGGTCTTGATAGCGGGGGCCCCAAGGACGCATCAGGGCGCCTGGGTGGGATAGGGGCTTCGGCAGACTGTTGCTGCTGAAGATGATCCATTCTGGATTCCCGCCAAGATAACTCTCAGACAGTCTAGGGGTTTTGAACGTACCTGTATCTTCAAAAACTGTCAAGCGAAGGACAGTTTCACTCCGCCGCGATGAACGAGTTGGGGCAACGGCGTGCTGCTCAGGACGCGTAGGGAGTTGAAAATTGATCAGACGTCGAGACCTCAGTACGCTGCGGACCAAGTGACGCCTAATAGGCATGAAAACACGTGGACAAACAACTTGTCCTTGCAGGGTCTCGGCTTTATGCCTTCGTCTACTGTACCACTGAGCCCTTGAGAAAGGGAAGGAGCAGCACCCTAAAGGTACGGCGAAGCTGCACGGGAGAGGACAAAAACGCGTCCAATGGCAAGTGCTTTCTACTGTTTTTGTGCACAGAAGCGCACAAGCTTGGCTCGAGAGGCCCAGCAGGAGAAGAGACAAACAGGATTTGCAGAGTTTTTAAAGACAGAATGGTTGCCCCACCCACCCTTCCCGCTTCGGAGCGAAACGAACCCCTCCCTGCCATATTAATCAACCTTCTCCCTCCCCTCAATGCATAAAGATAGCAATTTTTAACACCTTATCCAAACAGCTATTAATTCTCATCCTTTCCGTTCTTCCCACAACCTCCTCACGGATCACGTGTGGCGCGGCCACACCAGCCCATCACTGCAGACAGGAACCCCAAGCCCCAGACCACCAGTATCTGCACTGCTTCCACATCTTACACAACACCCTTCAAAAACAATTTAGAAACAAGTGTTATACAATGCTGATAGTGATTAGCAGGAGGCACAGCTCTTCTTCGCGGTAGGCCACCGGTCTGGTCCGCGACTGCCTGCCATGGAACCGCCCCACCGACAAAAACCTACGTCAGGCGAACTTTTGTTGACTCTTTCCCCTGTATATTATCCATATGACTGAATAAGCTACTACATTTGCCTCAAAAAAAAGCTCGCCTTCAGCCGTTGAACTACCCATAGAACTGTTTTCGCCCCATACACAGAGCGCCTCACATAAGTATCGATTCTCTAATCTGCGGTGGGGCGGGGCTCTTTTTCTATTCGCTATGGATACTGATTCGCTAGCATGTCGCGCGGCACATAGGAGTATGCTTGTTCAGGCCTACCCACTACCCACTGATAACGCTTTCTGGCGCATTCGCCAGTAGAACCTGTGTCCGCAACCCAAAACAGGATACAACGGGTTTAGTACGGACGTCAACTGCACGCTACAAGACCCCCAAAGTAATGTTTTTGACGAGGGAGAGTAAAAAAGAAGGAGGTAACTGTAGGCACACTGCACTACACCCTGCTCCGAGTCTTGTTGTCTCGGAAGGTTCCGCGCTGCGGTATTACATTGAGCCTTCACTCCTTATTCCAAAAAATCTGAGATTGGGCTGGTCTACAGCGGGAAGAATCCCAACCCCCTAAATGGAAATGCCATCAGCAGTGACCATAGTAGCATGAGCAGCGCTTGGTGGAGAAGCCTGCCTTGCACGAGAAAATTCGTAGACGCACTGTATCACAAGTCTCTCCTGAGGACAAGCCACACGAATGCACGCAGATACAAATGAAAGTGAACAAGCGTGAGGGGTTGATTCTCCTTCCCGCCTTCCCAGATGTTAATTGCCATAAACGGCTCACCACAACTTCGACAACAAATAAACAGAGCACACGAACATAGAAGCTAATTCCTGACCCACTTATGCACTGGAGCATATATACACGAATCTAAGGGCAGGTGCACTGTTCTACAGATAGAGCTTCATTTGACCTGGCGCGTTAGGGCTAAGCTCTTGTCTTGTGACTTCGCCTGAATGCGCCGACGTAGTAAACCCGCCTGCATTACAACATTCACCCTACTCAGCCTTCAAGCCCCAAACCCACAGGAAATGCAAAATGCAACGGACGTCTTCACCACAGCAGCTACAGTTGCTACTTCTGGCAAGCAAGACCGCAGCACCAACGGCAGTTATATCAGCAGCTGAACAATGGCAGCTGCAGCAGCTGCAGCCGCAGTAGTAGCTGTCTAGGATTTATAGGCCTGCTAACAATTCTTCAGTTCTCATTAAGTGTGCTGTGTCTTCACCAGTTCCCCAAGATATCGGGGCGTGTCTCCTGTGAGTTGTCCTCCATAACTGCAATTCTCATCGTCGTCCTCGGAGTGGCACAGCTCG